GTGTTGGAGCATTCACAGCTTCTGGAGGCAGGTTGTTCCACTGTCAGGAAGTTTCTCCTTAGTTCTAGGTTGCTTCTCTCTGATTAATTTCCATCCGTTGCTTCTCGTCCTGCCTTCAGATGCTTTGGAGAATAGCTTGACTCCCTCTTCTTTGTGGCAGCCCCTGAGATATTGGAAGACTGCTATCATGTCACCCTTAGTCCTTCTCTTCATTAAACTAGACATAAAATAATAACAATAAAATGCCTGCAAGAAAATAATCAAGCTCAAAGAGCACCCAAAACCCCACATAAACCCAACTATTATCTTAGCATGTTGTGTGACCCAGCCCATCATCCAATGGGGTTTAAACATCACATGCTATGTGAACATGAAACTCACCTTTATATCTATAAGCATGTGGTACAAACCCACTCTTACCTCTGGGGGTGTCATTGACAAATTGGGCAGGAGGTAGCTAGTCCTGTCCCACTCTGATACCACTTTGCAAGCCCCTCTCTTATTTGCCAACCTTATAAAGCCACTGCAGGTGGGGGCTAGCACAGTGACGTCACTGAACATTCTCGGTCACTGTGAAAGCATCTTTGTTTCTTGCCTGCCAGCAAAAAAAAAGCAACAACAACAACAAAAAACCAGGCCAGCTTTCTGCTGGCAATCAGCAATTTCCAACTAAGAAAGCACTGCAACCAGCTGTTTTCTGCCTGGGTTTTGCTAGCAAGGAGTGATTAACAAGTCAAATTGTGTGGGGTTTGTTATTTTTTGAGTCTTCTGCTTGGATTATTTTGATTTTCTAGGAATTTGGTTTTGCCAACAGATTTAATTGCCTATAGAGTAGATATCTCCGCTTTTGAGAGAACAACAGGAATAGAATGGACAGAATGGGCTGATAGCAAAGCAAGGGTGTCTAACCTTGTCCAAGAAGCGGAGGTGGCGCAGCAGTTAGAGTGCAGTACTGCAGGCCACTTTAGCTGACTGTGTTCAGCAGGTCAGCGGTTCAAATCTCACCGGCTCAAGGTTGACTCAGCCTTCCATCCTTCCGAGGTAGGTAAAATGAGGACCCAGATTGTTGGGGCAATGTAAATATATATATACATTGCTTACTGGTGTACACCGCTTAGAGAGTGCTTGCACGTAAAGCGGTATATAAGTCTCATAAATAAATAAATAAATTTAAGACTTGTGGACTTCAACTCCCAGAATTCTCCAGCCAGTATGACTGGCTGAGGAATTTTGGGAGTTGAAGTCCACAGGTCTTAATGTTGCCAAGGTTGGACACCCTTATGGTAAAGCATCCATGAGTCTAGATGGAATCTTGTACAGGCTCCTTTATCTCTGATAGGATCACTGCCCATTTCAGCTCCAACAGCACAAGCACCTCAAGAAACTCAATAGTGCTAGACCCCACGTATGACTCTGTCATTTTATCCTCTTTGCAAATATGATTTTAGAGCCTAGCATATCCAATATTGACAACAACGTGGATTTTGTATAGCCCCTCAATAGGAGGGTCTTTCTGAAGAGGCAGATGACCCTCTAGGGCAGGGGTAGGCAACCTTGGCTCTTTTATGACTCGTGGACTTCAACTCCCAGAATTCCTGAGCTGGCCATGCTGAGGGGAAAGGGAGAAGTTTCCAAGCTGAGCCATGCTGGCTCAGGAATTATGGGAGTTGAAGTCCATGAGTCATAAAAGAGCCAAGGTTGCCTAACCCTGCTCTAGGGACAAGGTTTCAAGGCCCCCGGATACCTGGAAGGGACAGATTTCTTTTTTTCTTTCAAGGTACTCAAATCATAGAAGGGGCAGCTGAAGACTTTAAAATATTCTACTCACCAATAAGGTAGCAATGGGGACGTATTGATCTTTCTCTTACCTGCAAACCAGATAAACATGGGACCCAACAGCTTGTGGGAGGCCAATGGGATGCTAGGAACTGCAGCAACAGGAAACAAGTCCCACACACCATCTGTCAAGGCCCAAGAACCAAGAACAACTTGTGGATGCTACTTAACAGAAGTTTCCTTTATTGTTTTTCATCTATAGACAGAATCTTGACAGATGAAAGCAAGCATTTGCATAACTATAGTTATACTAAATCTATTTCCCAAAGCACCAGAAGCCAAGACAAAAAACAATGGTTGGAAACTAACCAAGGACAGAACCAAGCTAGAACTAAGGATAATTTTTTTAATGGTGAGAGCAATCAATCAATAGAATCATTTGCCTTCAGAAGCTGTGGGTGGTCCATCACTGGAGGCCTTTACGCTGGATAACCATTTGTCTGAAATGGTATAGGGTCTATTGCTCAAGCAGGGGGTTGGACTAGAAGATCTCCAAGGTCCCTTCCAACTCTTACTATTATTATTATTAATTATTATTATTATTCTATGTTCTACTCTGAGAAAAGCTAGTGAGAAGCTGTTTAACCCTCTTTCTGTCAATCAAACTTTCCAAGCTCTACTGCCTCTTTGCCCTCTGAAAAGCAGCCCCTCCCCTCTGGGAATCCAGACTACATTCCACCACATCATTTTAGTCACTTCCCAATCAGATTACTGCAATGTGCTCTACACGGGGCTGTCCTTGAGGACTACCATGAAGCCACAACTGAACCCCAATGCAGCGACATGGATGATGGGGATTTCTTGTTATACAACATAGGACCATACTCTGTGAGCTCCACTGGCTCCCAGTTTTACCCTCCAAGTATAATTTAAGATTATCACCTTTAAGGCCCTACAGGGCACAGAACCAGTTAAGAGTGTGCTTTTTTGCCAGGATGTTGCCTGCTCCACATGCTCTGAGGCTCCCTTCATTGGCATTTTGTAGGACCCAGGAGGCATGTCTTCTTAGTGGTGGCCCCTATTATACAGAATGATCTTGGCTGACCTTGACCCTGATTGTCTTTAGAAAGGCAATCAAGATCTGGCTCTTTTTCCAGGCCTTTGGAGGAAAAGTTAGCACCTCACCCAGCTGATGCAGTTGTTGCTATTTGCGAGTTATTTATCCATTTAATTTTTATCCAGCCTTTATTTTTTATAAATAATAAGGGAAACATACCTAATACAGGTTGTCCTCGACTTACAACTATTCATTTAGTAACTGTTCAAAGTTACTACCGCACTGAAAAAAGTGACATGACCATTTTCCACACTTATGACTGTTGCAGCATTCCCTACGATCACGTCACCAAAATTCGGAGATTTGGCAATTGGCATGTATTTATGACAGGTTGCAGTGTCCCAAGATCATGTTTTATGACCTTCTGACAAGCAAAGTCAATGGGGAAGCAGATTCCCTTAACAAGCATGTTACTAACAACAACTGCAGGGATTAACTTAACAACTGTGGAAAAATGTTGTAAAATGGAACCAAATTCACTTAAAAAATATCTTACTTAGCAATTAGAAATTTTGGGCTCAGTTGTGGTTGTAACTTGAGGACTACTTGTACTCCATTCTCCTATTTTCTGCACAGCAATTGCCACTTTAGTTTCAATTCTTTCACTATTGTTTGGAGCAGTGGTTCTCAACCTGGGGGTCGGGACCCCATTTGGGGTCGAACGACCATTTCACGGGGGTCGCCAAACAACACAGTCCGCCATTTCCCCCCCCCCCTTTTCCTTAGCTGTGCTACTCCCTTTTATTCTATTGGCTTTTGAAAGCCAATAGAATAGACTCTCTTGAATAGAGTCTAATTCTATTGGCTTTCAAAAGCCAATAGGAATTGTCCAGGCTGTCTCTGCCCTGCTAAGCCCGCCAAAAGTCCCATTCTGCAAACGGTGCTGCACCAGTTGAGTAGACCTAGACTTATGACTGGTTGAGTAGTCCTTGACTTACGACCGGTTGGGGGTCGCGGCATTAAAAAGGTTGAGAACCACTGGTTTGGAGGTTTCTGTATTGCGGTTTTATATCCTCTTCCTTAGGGTTTGTTAAATGTGTAAGCTGCTCAAGATCAGTTTGATTTGAGTTGGGTGGCCATATATATATATATATTAAGTAAATAAATAACCAGGAGAAATCACTGGGGAGGATTCTCAGAGTCCACAAATGAATGGGTGTTACTGGGATTGTGCTCTTATTTCTTTACTTACACAGTACACACCTCATTTCCTCAGAAAGTTCAGCCTTACCCTCTTCTCTAAGCACCTCACTTCAATATAAACAGCTATATCGCAAATGAACCCCCAACTGCAACAGCATGTTTAGAATTGCAATTATATTTCCAGTTCCTATCAAATAGAGATAATCGTGTAGGTAATGCAATAGTTTTCAACTCTGGCAACTTTAAGATGGGTGGACTTCAACTCCCAGAATTCCCCAGCCAGAATGCTGGCTGGTGAATTCTGGGAGTTGAAGTCCACCCATCTTAAAGTTGCCAATGTGCAAAACACTGTTGTACAGTAATTCATTTCTGTATTAATATAATTAATTTCTCTGAGAGATAGACTACTGTAGATGATCTCCAAAGTGCCTTCCAACTCACTTTATGATAGCCCCACGACGAGATAGGCAGCAAGTAAATTTAATAAATAAGTTGTACCACATATGTCCCTTTGCATCCAACTGCTTATTCACTAATGAGTTTACAATTGCACTCTCAGGCTGCAGCCCTTAATACAGTGTTTCTCAACCTTGACAATTTTAAGGCATGTGGACTTCAACTCCCAGAATTCCACAGCCAGCAATGCTGGCTGCGGAATTCTGGCAGTTGAAGTCCACATGCCTTAGAATTGTCAAGGTTGAGAAACACTGCCTTAATACATTTCGTAACGCCACCATTCTTAAGACCACCTGCAGCCCTAAAGCGGACTTATTTTAGTTAATTGGGAAAAATAACAGCCTTGATCCCGGTGCGGACTTTCCTTTCCGCCAATCAACCCAGGCGCATCCACAGCGCCGTCCAGCGCTCGCCCGGATTTTTTTTTTTTTTTTTGGCAGCCCAGGCTGGCAGCGCTAAACCGACGTCCTCCTCCCCCGTAGCCACCCGCTCCGCTCCCTCCCCCCCGCCTGGGAAGGTGGAGACTCGGCGGGGAGGAGGGTCACAGCCTCGGCTGCCCTCCAACCTGACGCTCCCTGGCTGGGCGGAGACGAGGCAGGCGGCTCTTCCCCCACCCTTCCTTCCGTCTCCACGTTGCGCCAGGGCGAGGCAGTCGCGTTGGTGTAGCCAGCCGCTGTATCGGGAGGCCGGGCGTCCGATCTTCGCTTGGGAGGCCGGGCGAGCCGTTCCAAGAGGCGCCTCCGACGGCTCCCCGCTTCTGGAGCGGCGTCATGTCTGGCTTGGATTATCTGGCCGCCGAGTGCCTGATGTCCATCTCCAGTGGGGCCTTGATCCACCCGGCCTCCAGCCTCATCAGCGCGAAAGAAGAGCGAGGCGGGCGTCCCCCTTCCCTCCCCAGCGCCCGCCATCCGGGGCGCCCCGACTCTGCGCTTTCGGACTGCAGCGGGAGCTGCTCCTCTTCGCCCGGAGGGGGCGAGCCGCGAAGCGGCGTCCCGGTCCTGCCGCAGGCGGGGGAGCTTCCCCGAAGAGCCGGCGCTGACAGCCCCGCCAGCCTCTCCGCCATCTCCCCGGCCAAAAGGCACCAGTGCCCTTTCCAAGGCTGCATTAAGGTCTACGGCAAATCGTCGCATCTGAAGGCGCATCTCAGGACGCACACCGGTAAGAGCCGAGTCAAGCCCGGGATTGGATCCCGCCTCCCTCTCCCTGTTGCTCCCGGCTGAGACCCCCAACAGGGTACCCCGAGGCCCTGCAGAACCGCCTCCACCGCCTCTCAGTCCGCATCTTTTGGGCCCCCTCGGCCACCCCTGTTCCCGCTTCCTCCCGCCCCCCCCCAGGTCTCCACCCACGTGGAGACCGCGCCTCTCTCGGCTTTGGCGCACGGATTTCCTCTCGGTCCGGGAGGGAGGCATTTCGCAGGGTTGGTCGCTTTCCTAACCTCCCTTGCTTCTCAGGCTCATGATCTGCAGGATTTCACCTCCCACCCTCTCTTGATCCCTCCAGGGAAAGCAAGATGCCGCCGCCACCCCCGCCCTGGGGATCCTTGGCCCCACGTGCTTGGCCGGGCAGCTCGAAAGCGAAAGTGCATTGGAGGAGGGAGGCGGGGGAGACTTTGGCGACCCGTCCTGATCGGTGCGGGTCTTTAGCCTTAGGGTACTTGCAGGTAATGGCCCTGTCCTGCCGATGGCGCAGTAGAGCCTCTATGTTCCAAAGCAGGCTACCGTAATAGAAGGAACTCTAGGCGCGCCAGGGAGGTGTTGCTCTCACTACGGCGCTTCCAAATGTAGACTCTGCCTTTCTGGCAGGCGGGGCCCCCCGCAAGGAAGGGGGGGGTGTCTTTCTGGCTCGCTTAGAGCCCCCGCCCCTTCCGAAGGGTTCCTTTGGAGATGGCTGCGAGCTTCAAATCTCGCCCACTCTTGTTGGCAGAGCCTGGTGATTGCTGCCTACGCCGGACGATCGGAGAGAGGTGGGGCCATCCGGGGTGGCCTGATGGGATGGGGGCCTCCCCGTTGGAACTTAATCCCAGGGCGGGGAGGGAGATCCAGCCCTGGATTTTTCCCCATGGATCCAGAGCCTCTTCTGCCTGCCCGGCTCCCCCACCCCCCAATTGAAGAGGGACACAAAGGGAGGTACCCGGGGTGGGTGGAGCAACGCGCGAGCATAGAAGCCGCGTGGGTGTGTCCGCCAAACGACCACCTCTCTGCCTTGTCGTTGGGAGCGCAAAGCTTGGCTCTGCAGAAAGGAGAGGAGATAAAAATCATAAAAAAGAGTTGAATTTTGCCAAGAAGAGCCAGGGGTCCAGCAGCTAAGATCATTATTTGGAGTCACCTCTTTGCCATGTGCTTGGAACTCACTCCCAAGCAGTGTTTTTTTTTTTTTTTCCTAAAAAAAAAAAGGTGCCGGAACTCACACACATCATACAACCCACCTTGCCTACCCTACAAGGTTCCATCCAAAAAAGGTGCCAGAACTCCGTTCTGGGCCTTCTATGAGAAAAAAAGCCCTGCTCCCAAGAGAAATAGTCAGCAGGGCCCTGAATGAGGTTCCTTGGAAAGGACCAGTATAATCTGAAGTGTGGGTGTGGGGCTGGGAAGAGGAGGAGTTGGTTCAAACTACCCCTCAATGAGGAAATCCACTGATGACCTTCAGAAGTCCTTGCTCAAGTTGCCCTACTTTTGCAGGGGTGTTGGGAGGGCCAGCAAATGACTGTTGCCATCTTGTGGAGGATGCTGACTCGGTGGGGTTCACTTCTCAGGGACCACACCTTCCAAAACTGGGTACAAAGTCAGTGCAGATGTGTTAAATGTGGTGTGGCTTGGGTGAGTTTATGAGAGGCTATTTACTGTTTGGTTTGTACAGAACAAGGGCTTGTACAGAAGACAAGTTGGCTGCTGAGACCATTCACTAATGGGGTGGGTTCAAAGGAGGACACTCTAGGACAGTTCTTCCCAACCTGGCTGTGTTTGCCACTCTGAAACTACAACTCCCAAGATGCCTCGCTGCGATCTTCCTATATTTCTAATGTGCTCAATGTTTATCCATCTGTGCATGTAAAAGGAGATGGGGCTGAAAAAAAGGATGAATTTTGATAGCCAGGATCCTTTGAATGTGCCAGGAGAAACCTCGGCTGCTTGTTTTGCATCAGCTATGTTTGGTGCCCTTAATCCTCTGGTGGGCGGATAGCTGGGTTAAGCAGCTGGCAGGATTGTGTAGGCAAAGGCATAAAAGCCTGATTAAAAAAAAAAAAAAACCAGTGTGGGAGAGGCTTTCTTTGCCCAGATGCTATCATGTTTAAAGTTGGTGGTTTCTCCGATCTTGCTGAAGCTGGCACATGAATGCATTTACAAGCTGTTAAGTATACAGGGTCTTGCAACAGTCGGCCACTTGTGCAGACCTGTTCCATATGCAAAGATTTGGACATTTTAGTCTTTTAGAAGCAAGCCAAAGGACAGTATTGCAGGATCGTAAAGACCCTGGACAGTAAGGCACTGGATATAAAGGGAAGAGGGTTAAGTGGGGAAAGCCAAATGCCCCGAGGCTAGCAGTGGGCAGTAAATCCAGCAAAAATGTATTATTCCATGCCTGCATTCATTTAATTATTGTTATCCTGCCTTTATTATTTTAGAAGTAACTCAAGACAGCGAACATAGCTACCGTAATACTCCTTCCTCCTCTTATTTTCTCCACAATAAGCCTGTAAAATGGATTGGGCTGAGAGAGAGAGTGACTGACCCAAAGTCACCCAGCCAGCTTTCATGGGTAAGGTGAGACTAGAACTAGAGAGCCAGTTTGGTGTAATGGTTAAGGCACCAAGCTAGAAAGTGAAACACCCACAGTCTTCTTAGGCACAAAGGCCAGCTGGGTGACTTTTGGCCAGTCTGCCCAACCCTCTTCACAGGCTGTTATTGTGGGGAAGATAGGAGGAGGAAGGTGTGTTGGATATGTTTGCTGCCTTCATTTATTTGTAAAAATAATAAAGGTGGGATATAAAAAATAAAACAAAACAAAATAAACTCAACAGTTTCCTGGGCCTAAAGTCACCCAGCCGGCTTTCATGCCTAAAACAAGACTAAAACTCACAATCCTTATGCCAAACTGACTTTCGTGTGACATAATGGAAAGCTGTGAAGTCATTTGGTGCTTGGGTTTTTGTAACTATGTCCTGTTCTTCAAATTGAAAACTAATCTTGTCCCCTAGTGAAATTGTCCTCAGTTGGAGATTAAAAATGAGATATTTGCAGATGTAATTTGGGCAGAAGGCAAGGAGCAGGAATGAAATGTACTCCCTGTGATTTAATAACAGCAATCAACACCAGGCAAGGGACCTCTCTCCCTCACGTTAAGCTGCTGAGTTGCAGAAAGTTTAATGAAAAAGTGGATTTGTGTGTGTAAGAAATGGAAGCTTGGAAGAAGAATACCAGTTTGGTCTAATGGTTAAGGCACCAGGTCAGTGGTTCTCAACCTTTTTAATGCCGTGACCCTCAACCGGTCGTAAGTCGAGGACTACTCAACTGGTGCAGCACCATTTGCAGAATGGGACTTTTGGCAGGCTCAGCAGGGCAGAGACAGCCTGGACAATTCCTATTGGCTTTTGAAAGCCAATAAAATTAGACTCTATTCAAGAAAGTCTATTCTATTGGCTTTCAAAAGCCAATAGAATAAAAGGGAGTAGCACAGCTAAGGAAAAGGGGAAAAAAATGGCGGACTGTGCTGTTTGGCGACCCCCGTGAAATGGTCGTTCGATCCCAAATGGGGTCCCGACCCACAGGTTGAGAACCATTGCACCAGGCTCACTGACTCTCAACCCAACCCACGTACAAGATTGCTATTGTGGGGAAAATAACACGAGGAAGGTGTGTTGGATATGTTCAGGGCTTTGAGTTACTTGTAAAAAATAATAAGGGTGGGATGGAAGTAAACTAACAAATATTAAAAAAAAACCTATTGGCTCAAATGTGGGGCTTGCTTTGATTTGTTCTGCCTTCATCCTCTGCTACTGATTTCCACAACATTTGTTTGCATCTGTCAAAGTTAAAAAGGGGCAGAATTTCCATGCTCTATCCAGCAAAATCCTTTCTTCTTCAAAAGAAAACTTCAAAAAGCATTTTTCTTTCAGTGGGTTTTACAATAAATGAAGGTTAACTTTTCTTCATGGTGCTAGTCTTTTTCTTAATCGTCCTAAAAACTTGCAATCCTACTTTTCAACTTTTTCCACGTATTGTGTTACGTTTTAAAACATGTTTTTGTTTTCCCAACTTTCTTCCTTGTGCCAGGAAATCTCTATCTGATTGATGATGATTTGGGAGGGGTTTTTTTATTCATTATTTTAGAAGAGGACAAAATATAGGCAAAATACCAAGATACACTACAATAAGTAAGTTTAGTTAAGCAATTCTTTACTTTAGTTGAGCAAACCAGAAAAAAAAGCGAGAGAGGAACAAACAAAAAAGGTGTGTCTTATATATTAAAGTTTACAGTCATTGGTTTACTAAAATACTACATAATATTATAGTAATCAGATACAAAATATTACTCTAAAATTACCCTAAAATCTATACCACAAAAGAATTTGCTTAACCTTCTGATTGGTGGAAAATGTTGCCTTCTCCAGAATGGATAAATTACATATTTCCAAATGTCAGTCTTTAATATCTGGAATAATACTGGAAATTCGCCAACCTCTCTAGATTATTATTTTAGCCTCCATCCATGTGGAGAGTGTGAGGCTGATTTCTCATAGTCAACTTCCAGAGTTTTGTTCTATCCTTTAACGTCACACTGACATCTTTAATCTTTAAAGGATTTCTCCATAAATCTATTTAGGTATAGGTAGCCCTTAACCTATGACCGTAATTGGATCCAGAATTTCCATTGCTAAACAAGGTGTGGTTAAGTGATTAACACCTGTTTTATGATCTTATTTGCCACAGTTGTTAAGTGAATTGCTTCGATTGTTAAGTGAATCACCTAGTTGTTAAGCAAATCCAGCTTCACTTGTTGACTTTGCTTATCAGAAACTGGCTGGGATGGTTGCAAATAGTGATAACTTGACACTGGGAGTCTGCAACCATTGTGAATACATGCTGGTTACCAAGCACCTGAATTTTGATCAAATGACCATGGGAATACCCCAGTGGTTGTAAATGTGAGGACGAGTCACT